GGCAGGGACAGGGGCAGGGCAGGGGCAGAGGCAGGGACAGGGACAGGGGCAGGGGAGGAGCGGGGCAGGGGCAGGGCAGGGAAGGGAAGGGGAAGGGGCAGGGGAGGAACAGGGCAGGGGCAGGGACAGGGCAGGGGCAAGTTCGGGCCAGCACCGGTGCCCCTGCCCGCGGGGGAGCTCACCTGGGCGGTGTCCGGGGCGTTCGTGCGCCTCTCGCCGCCGCGAGAGGGGCCGCGGCCGGGGGAGCGGGATGCCGCCCGCGGGGCGGGGGCCCGGGCCGCGGCCAGCGAGGCCATGGCGGCGGCGGCGGCGCGGCCGTTGCCATGGGAGCGGCGGCGCGGCACGGCCCGGCACGGCCCGGCCCGGCCCGGCCCTCCTGCCGCTGCTCCTCCTGCCGCTGCTGCTCCTGCCGCTGCTGCTCCTGCCGCTGCTGCAGCTCCGCCGCCACCCGGCCAGAACCGACACTTCCTGGGCTGCTGTCTGCGAACGCGACCTCGGCGAGGAAACCATTTCCACCCGGCGGCTCCCACATGCTGGGCAGCTGGAAGGGAAGAGGCCGCTGGGTCCGTAACAAGCAATCATGACAAAACCCTCCATGAGACATGACAATCCCCAGAGAGCAAAGCGCTGCTTGGGGTAGCCTGGCAGCGAGGAAAAGGGCGAAAGCATCCTTTTCCGTGCATAGGCCAATGCAACAAAGTAATAAAAGCCGGGACAGAAGGGTGAGGGGATGCAGAGCTCAAGCCGATCTTGCAAACAGTGAGCAGCTGCTTGAGGTTTAGGTGACAGCTGGGATTCAAGGGCAGCACAGCGTTTGGTGTGCTCGCAGGTGCTCCAGGCTGCTCACTGCAGCTGCCAGTCCCAGGTCTGGACACACTTTGGGCAAGCTGCACACGTGTCACGTTGGATGTGCACATATCGCAAGTCTGAGTGCAGGCACTCTTGATGCCAACCTCTGTTTTCATTGACAAATAAATATTTTATTATGTGAATAAATTTATTAAATGCTAACATAGCTGTCTAAATCTCCAGATAGCTTTTTTATGAAAAGAACTGACTGATAACAATCAAGAAAGGCAACTTTATGGTTCCAACTGTAACCAACCAGGTCCTTATTTTCATTTTTCTCAGCTTGCATGCTACATCCCTCCCATACTTGCCTTCTGCAGAAATAAGGTGAACCTCACAATTAGTACTCACATATGCTATAGACTTCTCTTTGCATCAAAGGGAAAATACCCAATATTGTGTGTTTATACACAATGTATACACAAAAACACCCATACACATTCTGCATTTAGTAGAAATTCATAAACATTTCTACTTATTTTCTGTAGTTTTAGGCAAAATGATAGCCTAGCACAGTATAGGACTCTGAATTTAGAAAATGCTGTAGCCCCTTTGACATCCATGACATCCTGAGCTGTGATCAGGCAACACAGGTCATACAAAGGCATGACCTGTAGCACATTTATGAAGTGCCCTCACATGATGTGACAGTGCAGTTGCCCACCTTGGAGCTGGTGTCTGACACTCTTCATCCGTCCATGTGCACACATCTCTCCATTACTATGCACACTTTACTGGCCCTTCCATGTTCTACTTAAATATTTGTTTCTGTGAACATTCTGTTTTGTATGAGGGCTTACACTGGATGGAACAAGATTGTCTATTAAGCATCTGAGATTAATTATGCTGACAATGTTTTTATGTCTTCAGGCATTTAGCTGAAAAAGCTGGATTATATATTTTTCCCTTGGTGCCCAGATAGGAACCGAAGTTTTATGTATTCAAAGTTTTAAAGCTTATATAAAAAAAACCTGCTTACATTTATTTCTATTGTAGCCTAAGTGATTTCAAGTTTGGTGGCTCCATGTTTTGAATGACAAATGTGTAGAGAATATACCTAAATTGGGCAATTTAGTCTGTAAATTATAAGCTTAAGTCACATGGTACTTGTTGGCTCACTGTTCCAAAGATCATATTGCAAAGCTCCATTTGCTCACTGTGCACCTTCTTCAAAATAAAGCTTTTAAAATTTAGGATGAAAGTTACATTATGCAAGTTTGACTACAGGGATTCTGCTACCCTTGGCAAACGGCAAATGCCCATCCTCAAAATCACACAATCAGCTGTGATAATATTTATTCAAAAGTTAATAAATCCCAAACTTATATTGTATTTTTATCACATCTACCTCTTCCTTTGGTAATGAAAATATTCAAGACTCCAAGGCCTTACTTATGAGAGTACTGAATTTTAAGTCTTAGAAATGCTACAAAATATGTTGGAAATATAGACTTGATGTAAAGAGGATTTCTGCTTTGACTGAGGACAAACTGTTTTGGTGTGAAGACACATTTCAGCAAGCTATTCTTGAGGTAAAACTTAAATTTCATAAAACCACAGCACTCTGTGTGTTGGACACAGCTGCATGTTAGAAGATCACAGTTACATATCTAGGTCTGCTATTAATTTCCTGTTGACTTTGCTGAGTGAATTATTTCCTCTAGCACGCAGTATTCACTGTTTTAGAAATTAAGTTGTGAGCTTTTAAAGGACTATTATTTAGTATATACCTTTCATGTGCTGCGATAGGGGTCTTCAGCTCTAGTCAAGTGATGTCCTTTTCTTGGCTATATTCAACATCTAGACTCTGTCCAAAGCCACCTGCACTCTATCAAATATGACACAGGGTTTTAAAGTACAGAAATCAGAGCCTTCCCAAGATTCTTTCTAAGTCTGTTGACTCTTGACTTCCTTTTCATTATCCTTTTGTGGTTTTTTTTGTCTGTTCTGACAGACCCATGTTTGAAATTCACAGAATAAAAGGAAAATACCTTTGAAGTGGCTGGCAGTAGACTCAAACCCATCAAGTCAACAGAGCTTCCAACATCTGGATTTACCTGCCTGTACTACTAAAATACAGTGTTGAGGTCATGGGATGGTATGGAATTGTGAAAGTATGGAATTTTCACACTGATCTTTATTATTGTAAGGAAACACAATAAATCACAAGACATTTATACTCTTGTACAGTGATAGAGCTGGAGTACAAGGCCGGAGAAAAGTGTATGTTTGGGGCCCCAGCTGCTGGCATAGTATCAACATTCAGTAGAACAAGCACTGAGATACAGAAAAATGGAGATATTAAAAACATAAAAGCCAAGAAAAGAAAAACCTCAAGGTCCGAAATGTTACTGTTAGGTTAGGCGTGGCACAAATCAATATTAAATGTTCTGAATTTTAAAAATACCTATATTCCATTTGGGAGTCTGGGCAGGCAATGCAACCTAATGTGAAAGCAATGCAAATGCTGCTAGCTCCACTGACCCATGCATCTTTACTTCTCTGCACTCGGAACAGTTTATGCAGCTGATCGACTGTTAAACAGCATTATACCTCTCATGTATGGCTTTCCTCTTGTGCTGGCATAAGCCTCTTAGGAAAAATGTTATGTATTTCCAAAAGAAGGACTGCAAAGTGCTTCACCTGTTTGTTTCATTTGAAGAGTAATTCTATTTCGTGCACACAGCAGGACACTTGGCAAACATAATGGTGCTTAGCAATCTCATCATGGACAAAGTTTTTGTTGAATGAAAAGTGGAGTGAAATATGCTGGTAGTACTGTAGTGTTCACTTGTGTTCTGAAAGCCTGGAAAATATCTTCGAGTAGGATAAGGGATATAGCTATCCAGTGTGTCTGTGTGAAAAAGCTGTAAGATGTAATCCAGACATTGAAAAATAAATAAATTGCCCTTAGATATTTTTTATGAACTCACATTTAAGTTTTATCTTGCTGCGAAAATGCTGATCAGAGCACCCATGAATTAGAAAGAAACACAAGCTAAAATTTATTCTGCATAAGCACAGAAGAAAAGGCAAAATACCTTACATTGATTTTTTTATTGATTTTTGTGTAAAACACAGTATATGGAAAAATAGGTAAAAGCATTGTTAATAATTTATAATAGCCCTGTTCAGAGAGACAGCACAAACAGTCTCACAAACACAACTACAAAGAGAATATTACACATGGGAGACATGTTATGCTTATTGTAAGACACTGCCAACAGGCATGATAAACAATATATGACAAAATACAATTGTTCAAGTCAGTTAAATGTGTCACTTATTTTAAAGGCTGTAATTAATTCAAGCAGTATCATATGGTGATACAATATCAGTACTGCAACATTATTCATTATATTGATAGAAAATACTACAGGGTGAACAGCCAAGAAATCAAAACCATGTGCATTTGGAGATGCACAGTCTGCAAGGAACTATGCATATGCATTCATTACCACTGCATATGTGAAAATATTACACTGAAAATTTCAGTATATCCAATTTTTATGCACCTGATGTATCTAACTTTCAGAGGAAAGCTGTTTCCTAACTGTATTCATACCTGTGAAATTTATTGCCACTGGAGAACTCATTGTCTTATATTAATTAACTATTTTCTTTAATGCCAGTTGGGCAGCTAATACCATACAGACTTAAACACAGACACACTATTGTATAGGCAATTAATGGCAAATTAAAATATTCTTGGTACATCACATAATTTACAATGTTGGAACAAAAAAATGTGGCAACAATTCACAGTAACCATTACCACAAGCTAAACAACTTGCAAAACAATTACAAAATAATTCATTTCTAAATAACTAAAAACCTCTAAATAATTCAAGAATGTGCACTTAATTAACCTGCACATAGTTGCAACAGTTAATAGAATTTTAAGATAAAATTAAAGACACATGTAATCCTATGATAGAACTCTATTTTAGACAGTGTTAAGACCACTTTAATATCCATAGAAAACAAATAACCTATTGCTAAATACATAGAAGTCTCCTTTTTATAATACATGTACAATTCTGTATCACATACCAAGCACTATTTTTTAAACTGTACAATAATTAAGAGAAATTAGGCTTATTTCATTATGTATTTTCATTAGGCAGTAAAGCAATTTATATAAAGCTACACAAAAATAATTTTATAGTAGGCTGTTCCTCAAAATATGTATTTATTCTTCTAAGTAACTAAGATGTCTATATGAATTTAGTTGTTTATATTTAGGCAATCTAAACTAAACAGTTAGCCTCCAGTATTTTTCCAATGAGAAGTGCTATTGTGAGTTTATAGAAATCAGTGTGTTTGGTCACATGAATGAAGATCCCATGAGGGATGAAACATATGCTGGATATAAAGTTTGCTAAATGCATGAGAGTCGTTTACCTTCAGGCTTAACAGTGTCTTGTTAGAATGAATTGGTCCTTAA